CACCGGGCCCCACGTCAGCTAAGGACGGCCCTGATTGAGACACTAAAGATATCTCTGTGGTTTTCCTATGTTCCTGTAGGTGCAAACAACTGTGCAAAATACATTCCAACCTCTGCAAAGTCTTATAAAATATGTGACCCTGGAGCACAAAAGCAGTCTTAAGTCGCTGGGGTATATTTGTAGCAATAGCCAATTATTTATAATAATTTTATAATAAATTTCCTACCGTAAATATATCAAAACGTAATTTTTGATTAGTAATATGCATTGCTAAGAACTTAATTTGGACAACTTTAAAGATGATTTTCTCAGTGTTTAGATTTTTTTGCACCCTCAGATTCCACATTTTCAAATAGTTATATCTCGGCCATCTCATATTGTCCTATCCTAATAAACCATACATCAATGGAAAGCTTATTTATTCAGCTTTCAGATGATGAATAAATCTCAATTTCGAAAAATTGACACTTAAGACTGGTTTTGTGGTCCAGGGTCACATATATCAGTGCTGTATAATCACGCAATAAAGCTCGGATGAAAATGCAGTGGATGGATCGATACAACCAGTGATGTGGCTCAGTTGATCCAGGCGTACGAGTAGAAGCCGTTCTCCTCCCACAGGTCACACCTCTCGCGGGAGTAGCTTGTTACGAAAGAAATGTTCTTGTCCAGCAGGGCGACATGTGAGGGGAACTTCGGCCACTCCTCTGGCATCCTACCTGTGAGGTTACGGAGAGTTTTGGAAAGTTATGGGCAAGATTTAATCCCACTGATCACATACAATTTCAACCAGCTTAGGTTCCACTTTTGCCAATATAAAAAAAAAAAAAAAAAAAAAATCAAAGTTAAAGCTTTTTTTTCCACTTTTTTATTATTTGGTTGAGGGTATTTTAGTATACCATTTTATTCAGCAAGGATACACTAAATTGATCAAAAGTGACAGTAAGCCTTTTTTTTTTTACAAAAGAGTGATTTGCCAATATAAAAAAAAAAAAATCTAAGTTTAAGCTTCGAATCAAACCAAGTCTAATGAACTGTAATGTTATTATAGTGCTATTAGATTGTATTTTTATATTTTTTGTTTTCACTTTAATTTTAGTTAATGTTTTGGTAATTATGTTGATTGTTTTGTCATTTTTATTATTATTATAATTTTTTAAAAATATGTCTATATATTGTTTTATTTTTTTAAATTTAGTTTATTATTTTGGTAGTTCAGCTTAAACTGAAATATTGCCTTGGTAACTAGCTGAAATAAATTTTATTTTATATTCATTTTAATTTTATTTCAAGTAATGAAAATTATTTTTTATGGTTTTAGTTCATATTAACTTTGGTGACGAATAACAGCAACATTTGAATCAAAGCAAAAAAAATATATATACCCGTATTGACCCGAATATAAAGACGATGTTTTTTTCTTGGAAATACATCTGAAAAAACGCGGTCTATCTGAAAAAACTTCCTGCTCTTCCCATTCCTCTGTATTTTGTCATATCAGACAAAATGCAGCGTTAACTGGTTGATCAAATATCAGAAAAAAAGCTGCTGACTAGTTATGGATATCAAACAAAATCTTCTGGTGGGATCTGATCCAACATTCCTGGTCTTGGCAGTGGCATCCTGATGTGTTGGTAGGATCTAACAGAAATGAACTAGTCATCCCATGATGCATTACAAATGACAAATGAATCAGAAACAATAGTATGATATAAAACACTTGACTACAAATCATTATATTAAAAGTCTAATAAGCATATTGGCTTTTTTTCCCCGCAGATTGTGGCTTAACACAAGGGTTTCATTAAAAACTTCAGTTCATGGGAGGGTTTTCTTAAAATATTTATATTATATCAATAACAAAAATGTTCTTTAATGAGAAACTCATTCCAGAACCCTGCTATTTCCTTCTTGTTCAATTTTTTTTCAATGATGAAAAGAATGTTGCATAATAGATGCACAACTACTCCAGTTTGGGGTCAGTAAAAAAAAAAAAAAGTCTCTTATGTTCACCATAGGTACATTTATTTGATAAAAAAATACAGTAAAGACAATAATACTGTTAAATATTATTACATTTTAAGATTTTAAAATTGTAATATATTGTAAAATGTGATGTTAAAGCTGTATTTTCAGCATCATTACTCCAGTCTTCAGTGTCACATGATCCTTCAGAAATCATTCTGATATGCTGATTTGCTGCTCAAGAAACATTTCTTATTATTTTCAATGTTGAAAACAGTTGTGCTGCTTCATATGTTTTTGAAATATTATTATTTTGTAATATTATAAATGTTTTGCCGACACATTTGATCAATATAACGCATGCTTGTCGTATAAAGGGTTTTAGTTTTCTTTCAGCAACTACATAAAAATCTCACTGACCCCAAACTTTTGAACAGTAGCAAATGTACTCAAAACATTAAACCTCAAGAAACAGGGTCAAGCGTTTGATATAGATTTCAAATGTTTTATTATTAGTATGGGAAATCTCACATTAAACTTACCCTCTTTGGCAAAATGTACAAAATACTTGGTGATCATTTCCTGGAAGCTGATATCAGCCGGTGACAGGGTCCCCAGCATCATTTCAAGACCCCCGAAGAAGGCCAGGCTGTCTAGAAGATGAAAGGCAAAGCGACTGGGGAAGGGAAGCCAGCTGGAGGCGTTTGCCTGTTTTGATGGAGTGTAAGTCACCAGATAACGGTACACTGGACTCTTTAAGGCTCCTGAAATACATGATTTAGATTTAAACAACTGACTATGGATCACAAATCTAAACATAATGTACAGTCAATAGCAAAAATGTGCGATAATGACTAGCTCACTGTTCATTATCCTGCTTGACCATTAAATATTTATTGGAGCTCACAAATTCTCAAATATTCAGAGTGCTGATGAAGCTCAATTCCTTTTAATTGTGAACTGTGCAATGAAAAATTCATTTGAACCTGCAGCTCTCTTAGCCAGGTCGTTCCTGGGGCAGGTGGCCCTCATGTCAGAGACTATGGTGGTGAAGAGTCTCTCTGGGCATCGGTCAGAGGTTGGACACGGAGCCGAGCTATTGTACAGCCTCAGCGCCTGATTGGTCAAGGCCTCTCCGAAAGGGGTCAGTTTGTCTGAGTGAACGATCAACAGAGATGTGGTGAGGAAAAACATGTAAACTTTAGTGCTGTCAATCGAAAAAAAAAAAAAAATGAATTAATCGCGATTAATCCCACCTAACATTAGAGTTTTTAAATATACTTTTATATTGCAATCATTTCACATTCAATCAAATGAATGTAAAAACAACATTAAGACAGCGTTTTTAATATTTGTTTAATGGCATCTTTTTTATGACTGAAGGCGAGTATCACTGATACCAATACTGCTGATGTCTCAATGAAATTTTTTTCCCATAATATTTAACCATTGACTAAGCTATTCAACATTACAGTATAATTGAGAGCTATCAATTGTAACATTTATTAGACACAAAAAAATAACAACCTCTAATTTAAGTGAACTTAAAACAATCTTCACATAAACCCATTATAATAAATGTCATTAGCTACCTGTGCCCTTAAGCAAGTAGGAAACATAACACCAAATTCTAAATTAAATATAGATTAACCCTTAAAGCTACAAAAGTCATTGATTTCCTCTTTTTTCTTCTTCTTTTGTTCTTTGATGAACAGACATCACAGCAGCTGGTTATTAGGTTATATTGGCTGCCGCTGCTGAACATGATGCATTATAATTATATAATACATTTCAAACAATGGTTATAAATATATAATGTTTCTAGAAATAATCCCTGTTTTATCTGATAACATTTAAAAGAGAGTATATTTCTTTGAATTTCATTCGTTAAATTCAAATCCAAATTATAATTCTGCATCCAGCTTGCTAACTCAATTCAAATTCCTGAACTTTAAAGACATTCTCAATTTTGAATGGTGCACAATCCTGACAGGTTTTTTTTTTTTCCATTTTAAAACTGATAATTGAAAATCGAACAAAGCTGGTTACCTAAAATCAGTCTCCTGTTCAGTTGTTCCAACCACAAATGGGACGTCATTATAGGCTCCGGCTCCACCCTTCTCCCAGGTTTCGAACGGAGGAGCTTTGAGAACATAGTTGTCAACTACTGCAACCGGGCCAAGAAAAACACCTTTGACTGGAAGATCGGTTAATTCATCGGCTGCCCATGCTGGGTACTGCTGCCACGGGATTGCCTGAGTCAGATACAAATCACTGACATTAATTTGCGCTCGTTTGACTAGCGTCTGTTATGAGTGACTTACTTGTCACAATCCACCGATAGTCTCCCCAAGTCCATGCTGAGATGTTTTCATATGGAGGACTAAAGTGAAAAGACAAAATCAGAATGTAATGAATTGGCTTCCTAATATGAATTTGAATTGAATTGGCTGCAATTCACAGGATGTTGAAATCTGAATTTAAATAGGAAAGACAGGAAGAGGAATTAACTGAATTGCTTTGGAGGAATTTCATTAGTCCAATACAAATTTTGTGACAAAACATTAAAAATGACAACATTATATGTAATGATTAATTATACATATGTTGATTAATTATGCTTATTTATTCCCTGTAGAATAATAGATGCAGTGTCTCAATGTATTAATGAAATATTAATTATTATGATTATAATAATACTTATTATATGAATAATTATATCAAATAATATAATAATTTTATATTTGGTAAATATTTTTATATTTTATATAAATTTTATATATATTTTTATTTTTATTTATTTATGCAGCATATTAATATATTAATGAAATATAATTATGAAATATAATTATTTAAATTATTATATAAAAAATAATTGTATTATATATTAATTCATCGGCTGCCCATGCTGGGTACTGCTGCCACGGGATTGCCTGAGTCAGATACAAATCACTGACATTAATTCAACCACAGACCCATTTCTGATATATTACTACCATTTAGAGAAATTAAACCTCATCGGCAGATTTTCATTGGGAATTCATGAGCGTTCGCTGAGATCTGGCAGGCGGTCGAGGTTTGATGATTTATCAAAGAGAGTTTACGGACGAAGGGGCCAATAGGTTAAGGCTGTTGTTAGTCAGCCATTACTCTGCTGCTGCCTTGCTCTGGAAGGTTACAAACTCGGCCATAAATTTCTCACCTGAAGGACTTGAGCGATATGTAGTCCTCTCAGGCAGATGGCGTTCTTGCAGCCAGTTCTCCTCAGGAATTCTAAGTTGTCTTTTTCTGCTGACTCCAGGGAAGCATTATACACATACGAGCCGCTCATGTCAATCGCGCGATGAAAGAGTCCCTTGGCTAGTGGAGACATCATCAAGGCCCAAACCGAAGTTCCTCCTTATGATCACACAAGGAGAGAAAAACTTAATATACATTAATAAGGCTCACGTTTGTGAAAAATAAGTGTGCTTAATTATATTGAATGTGCACTTGTAGTACATCCAGATAATATATTATGATATTAATGAAATAAAGGAAACCTAAATTAATGAAACCTAAAGCCTTGTTCAGACTGTCAGCCCAAATCTGATTATTTGTGTATCCGACTGGAATCTGATCTAAATGTTTCACTGTCTGCACTGTGTATCACAACTGTTCAGATTTGATTTGTGTCCCGTGGCGCTCTTTCGTTTTACTCAATATCTGCATTGGTTTCTTTGGCAATGACATTGCTTTGGTATGTCTACACTAAAAACAACAATAACAGCAATACAGTTTGCAATACAGAAGTTGTCTTACAATATGACAACATGTTGCCGTCATGCTGGATTGAATTACGTCTTATGAGGCGGCGGCAGAAAGGTAGGATGCTGGAGTGTGCAGATTTATTCCGTGTTGCCACCTCCGCCGGTCTCTAAACTCAAAGAGGTGCATAGACCAGCGCTATATTGTCATTTTCCACTTGACTTGCACTTCACAACAACACAACCTTGTTTCTGCAAAGACATTCAGCATGTTTTTAACAAACAAGGTCTGATGTGTTTACGTTTTACGTGGCGTGCGAAAGTGACATAGGGCAAAGAAGTTATGCAAAATCCGATCTGACCGGTCAGACTAAAACGGATTTCCAGAAATGCGATTTGAATAGGATTTCAAACCACATATGAATGTAGCTCGAAACAAATTTGCAAACATTGGATTTCATGTGATTTTTTGCCGGTCACACTAGTGAAATATGACTGGATTCCATTCGGATATGCACAAAAATCGGATTCGGACTGACAGTCTGAACAAGGCTTAAGTGTACTTAAAGGGAGTACACTTTCATGACAATGTTTCTTAACACACTTAAGTACACTTTTAAAAAGTGCACTTTGTAATAATGTCAAATTGAAAGTTGAATTTTTTAAAATCATGTTTAAAAAAAATCTTTTAAATTTAAAAGTACATTTATTTTGATGTGTTTACTAACATACTCAAGCACATGTACTTCATTATAATTTAACTGAAACTTCATTATAATATATCTGTAGTGATAATACATTTACATAATACAAGTATATAATTTAAATGTCCTGTGTACAACATCATTATAAATGTGTATTTACAAATATATTTAAATACATGACAAGTTTCAGTGCAAATGTCATTAAAAGTATATTTTATGTTTACCATAAATAAGTTATATGCTTGTCAGTACATTGAGCAGTACACTTTAACCATATTTCAAAGACAATAGATGCAATTATGAAATTACATATAAAGATGTACTTAAGTCCTACTTAAATGGGTCAAAAATAGTACTCTTAAGTTCAACTAATTGCATTTAATATACATTTTAACTATAATATTTTTTATTTGTTAATAACATGTCCAAAAACCTCACATCCAGTTCACACTTACATAAATTCTTAGATAGTTCAAACTTACATAGTTCACACAAATATATTATTTCCATAAAAAGTACTCTTTCTTAAGTATATAAAGTGTATTTCTTTTTCACAAGGGAAGGTTTCAGATGCAAACATTAGCAGTGCAAATTTATTTTGCTGGCCATATAAACAGGTTACAGTATTCACCCTTTATGCATAGCATAGCATTTATGGCATATGTGATTATAAAACATGTTTAGCAAATGTTTGCAGAGACGGGTGTGTACTCTAAATTAATATTTACAATATTAATATTCACACACCTGCATAACAAATACATTGTAGTACTTTGTTTATTCTCCACTATTTGCTTGCCATGAATCTTCTTTTTTGACAACATTAAAGCAACCAGTCACGTTGCCTTGCAAAGGAATGACTTCATAAATCATGGGAACAAATTCTTAATCCATGGCCATGATATCTTTTATGTTTTCCCCCATATGTCATGTCTGTGGCTCTGCATGTAAATGGCCAAAAAAACACAAAATATGTCAAATTGCCTGTCTTGGTGAGTATTTAGGTAAAAACAGTCGGTTATGTCTTAGGTGAATGTAACCAGTTAAGAAAATCAGATATATGTCAGTATATTGCATCTGTGCATTAGGTCTTAAAGTGACAGCAGCATAATATACCTACTGCTGTCTGTGCCATTAATGTAAATCAAACAGCTCATTGTTCTTGACTAAATAACTTTTTTTGTAGCTTTAATATGAACAATTGTGTATTGAATTCATACAGTGAAGACTTTGCAGTGTTTTTTTTTTTATTTAGCACAGTTTATTTCATTTTAATCTTTGCTTGTCACTGATTTGTTAACTTGTATTCAGTAAGCTTGAGAACGTTTTACTTATGGCTAGTATTAGTTTTTGCCGTGACATCGAAATTGGTGAATTTTGGCAATGTAAAAAACATATTTCCAGAAAAATAACTATATTGTGATACAAGATTTTGGTCGTATCACCTACCAACATCACCTTAAGATTTAATTAAATATGTTTAGCATTTTTAGCATAGCAGTTTTTAACACATTTAATGAATCTTTATGGTCAGGATTGAGACTAGATCATAATTATTTTGTTGTATTATATTGACAGTACGCTTAACAGTTAGAAATAAATATGATTTTATATAATATGTACTGTCCAATTACAAAGTACATTTTAAATGTCTAACTTATTAGAAAGTAAATATTTTCCAGATATTTTAAAAAGAAAATATAACATTTTAAAAACAAAACAAGTACGTAATATAATATATGAAATATGTTACAAATGTATATAATATTAGAAACATGTTGTCCTTATAACATCACATTCTCAATAAGTATAGTAAAGTGTACAGGGGATCATATTTTGGCGGTTCTTGGCATAAAAGGCTGAAAAACCCTGACTTATGCATTGACAATTAGACATGTCGAGTGTTCAAATACTTTTCGATGTCACTGTATGTTGTACCTGAGCTTTGACCAAATATGGTAACCCTTCCAGCATCACCACCGAAGTTATGGATATTTCTCTGGACCCACTGAAGTGCTTGGATCTGGTCCATGAAGCCATAATTCCCTTTGACAGCAAACAGAAAGACGCCAGTAAGTGAACTACTGTTCAGAACAGTGCACATGCAGTGATGTTTTATGAATTTCAATATGCTGTAGTGACAAGCAGAGAGCTCATGAGATGGACAGCAGGCCTGAGTGAACTGGACAGGTATGGGTCTTACCTGAGGAGTTGGTGGGAGAACCTTCCCTGAACACCTCCAGGGCCATGAAGCCGAAAGCATTGAGCCTGTAATTCAGGCTGACGTACACCGTCTGCGTACGGGCCGCCAGCTCTTCGGTGGGCGAGTATCCTCTCTCCTGGCTGCTCAGCATGTGGAGGTACCCTCCGTGGATCCACACCATGACGGGCAGTGGTTTGGCGGGCTGTAGACTCGGCGTCCACACGCTGAGATGCAGACAGTCCTCCTGTCCCATGACCTGCCCGTCTTTTCGGAGGGGCTGCACCTGCGCACAGATGCTACGGAATCGAGTAGCATCGTACACGCCCTGCCAACACTGTCCCGCCTCCACTAGGTCCGCCGGAGGTCGCCAGCGACGTTCACCCACAGGTGGTATTGCATATGGGATGCCTTTGAAAGAATAAGCTCCACCTTTCCAGCTCCCACGCAGCCAACCGCACTCGGTCTCCACCTCTGCCACTCCTGGAGGCGGAGTCTCAGCCACGTAAGCCAGGCATCCCGCGAGAGAGAGGAGAGCGATCACACCGCAGCTGATGAGGAACATGCACCTGCGCGACACCACCAGGAATGGACTGACATAGAGGCGACGGACGTACTGTATCTGCTCCTCTTCTTCGTCCTGCACTAGATAACGATACTCCGTCCCCTCGGGGACCTCATATACATCCTCCCTCATTTTTTATCTTCTGTGAGAGAGAGAGAGAAAATACAAGTGCAAGTCAATTCCCTGTTCATCCAGAAAGAACAAATTGCATTTCTGAGATTTTTTTCCACAACTGCCATATTTTTTGGGTCAACATTCTTTTTACTATATATAGAGAGGCCCAAATGTATGAAACCACATTGAGATTGTTTTCCATTAAACATGGAAATAAGTCTCACATAAATTCTGTGAGAATGATGTGAAAAATAAAACAGATTATGAATTATTTCAGATTATGAACTAATCAAGATCACTAATAAAATAAGTAAATTTGCAACATTAATTATGTGAACTCATTTGTACAGATGGTCCAATTCAATTTAAATTGTTATCCCGATAATATAATTTGTAATAAAACATAAATTAGAGGGTGGGAAAAAGCTTCTTTTTTTTTTCACTCAGACAGCCCCTAATGTTCAGGGTTATTATAGTTAAACTAAACTTTAACGGAAATAAATTAAATATAATAAAACATGAACTTATTTTATTTCAGCTAGTTGCTAGCTGAAATTTCAGTTCTTTATTTCAGGTTTTGGAAGAAGTCTCTTGATCAAGGCTGAATTTATTAGATCAAAACCACAATAATAAAATAAATATATGGAATTTTTTCAATTGAAAATAACTTTTTTCTATTTTAATAAATTAGAATGATTTATAAAGGATCTTGTGACATTCAAAACTTCTGCTGAAAATTTAACTTTTTTTTTTTAATCAAATAAAAACAGCTTTGGCGTGTATAATGGATTTATTTCAAAAACATAAAAAAATATATTAATTATTATTATTTAAAAATCTTAACTTTTGACTGGTATGGTACTTACTATATTAATAACAGCAAATTTCATAAATATACGAAAAACCCAAACCCCATAGTAAGTACAAGTTGTTCATTAATAATGCTCAGTACTTATTTTTGTAAGTACACTGTTACAAGGACACCTTAAAATAAAATGTAACTGCATTTTCTTCATGGCTAGAAAGTGATCTTGGGGAGGAAAAACATGCAAACATTTTCTGTGAAGACTGTATTTATAATGCATTCTAAAGATAATCATAATGCTTTATAATACACATTGCAATCTATATATTGTGCAATGCATACACAATGCAATTCATATATTTTCATAAATAACTGTAATTGCCTTATAATGTACAAAAGTTAATGTACAAAAGACATAAGTTGTGTATGATGACAATAATCTTATATTCATGATTGCACCTGTAGAGCGTCAGTGCGTAATGTATCCTAACACACACAATAACTCATGAAAAGTAATGGTGATCTGTTTTAATGCACTACACTCAATCAGTAGTTATTAGTGTGCATATTGTCGTGCAGTATATGCATAACAATAGTACTGTGAATATATATGTAATGTATTATAATGTGTCGTGCAAGCCTGTGGTTACCATAACTATAAAGCATTATAATGCCTTAGATACGGGATTTACAGTGTGTGGTTTGTGTTGGTGTATGTGTAATTCACAGCATGAAGTGTGTGTGCTGTTATGACAGACACAGGATGAAGCGAATAATCAGCGGAAACCACAAAATGACCCACCGAGAAGCCACACTTTCCCGGTTTCATTTCTCTATGAGTTGAAATTTGAAATATTACCTCACAAATGAACAAATTCCACTAAATAAGGCAACAGAAGAAACACAATATTAACGCGTAAAAACTTGTCTGAGGAGGAACTGATTTCAACAACAGATTTAGACTCGAAGAACTCCTTTAAGCACAGCATATATAGCCCATATGTGTACTAAACCGTAAAAATCATAACAAAAATAAATCTACCCTAAAAACATTTTGCCCCGCTAACGTCGATACAAAGTTACTTGAAATAGCGCAACAACGACGCAAGCACTCAGAGACATTTTCATCTTAATTTACCAATCCGTAATCGCTTGCTCCTGTTTCAAAGCCTGAATTTAATATGAAAAGTAAAAAAGGTGACACAATGACGCATGTAATGTACTTACTGTGACATTAGAGCTCGTGCACTCGCGTACTGCTAGTAGTGATGACCGGTTCGCGAACGAATCGTTCAATTTAACCGGTTCTTCTTAGTGAACCGGTTGAACCAGTTCACCAAATCGGACTGAATCGTTTGAAACGGTTCGCGTCTCCAGGTAGCATTAATCCACAATTTACTTAAGTTATTTACTTTTTTAACGTGGCTGACACTCCCTCCGAGTCGTAGAGAAAACAGCCCTGCACGTTTAATATCTCTGGCTCCGCCCACATCTCGATGGCTGCTTTACCAAACATTTCAACTCACAACCACCAAAAACTAAAATTAAAACTAATAAAACCAACCATTAATAAAGCCTAAATTATATTTGCTTTTCTAAAGGACATACAAGTGCAGCATAATAATAGTAATGTTAACATTATACGTATGTTCATAGTTTGAAGTGTAAGAAGCCAAATAGGCTACTTTTAAGATATTTAAAAATGTTTCCATATCAATTCTTGTATTAAAAAGAACAAGGGTAAGAATTTGTGACATGGGAACTGGAAATGAAATTAAATGAAAATTTTTAACCATTTTCATATATCATATTTCATTTTCTAGATAGATAGATAGATAGACAGACAGACAGACAGATAGATAGATAGACAGATAGATAGATGATAGACAGACAGACAGACAGACAGAATGATAGACAGACAGACAGATAGATGATAGACAGACAGACAGATAGGTAGATGATAGACAGACAGACAGATAGATAGATGATAGACAGATAGATAGACAGACAGACAGATAGATGATAGACAGATAGATAGACAGACAGACAGATAGATGATAGACAGATAGATAGACAGACAGACAGATAGATGATAGACAGATAGATAGACAGACAGACAGATAGATGATAGACAGATAGATAGACAGACAGACAGATAGATGATAGACAGATAGATAGACAGACAGACAGATAGATGATAGACAGATAGATAGACAGACAGACAGATAGATGATAGACAGATAGATAGACAGACAGACAGATAGATGATAGACAGATAGATAGACAGACAGACAGATAGATGATAGACAGATAGATAGACAGACAGACAGATAGATGATAGACAGATAGATAGACAGACAGACAGATAGATGATAGACAGATAGATAGACAGACAGACAGATAGATGATAGACAGATAGATAGACAGACAGACAGATAGATGATAGACAGATAGATAGACAGACAGACAGATAGATGATAGACAGATAGATAGACAGACAGACAGATAGATGATAGACAGATAGATAGACAGACAGACAGATAGATGATAGACAGACAGACAGATAGATAGATGATAGACAGACAGACAGACAGATAGATAGATAGATGATAGACAGATAGATAGATAGATGATAGACAGATAGATAGATACATATTCATTGTCATTGTATATATTTTTGCCTTCAACCCCAAAATGCCCTGAATGTAATAGCCTGATTTGAAGGATTGAACTATGCGATCTACTGTATTATAGATTTCTGATATTTTTGTTCTGACCCATTCAGCAATGTATCTATAATATACACCGGACAAAGCCTATGTGTTACTTTACATGTATTCATTTGTGTCAATAAAATAATTTAAAGAACACCACAAAAGCAAATGCATTTGATCAGGAAATTAATTCTAGGCGTGATTAATGAACTCTATAAAGGTTTAATTGTTTTTAAATTGATTTAGATATTGATCCCTTCCCAACATGGGAGGTAATTTGCTAGTGGTGAAAAGGCTTTTGAATTTATTAAACTAATTGCATTATGTCGTGGTTAGACCGATTACATGACTATGTTACGTGTAATCTTACAAAACCACTGGTGGATCCCACAATATGTGAACTCAGCATGAAATGAAAAGAGCAAAAGTGATAGATGGATTGCCATGGGGAGCTAATGAATATCTAGGGGCACAATTCAAGACAGATATATTTTAACCCCACAGGGATGTATAACGGATAGCTTGGCTGTTCCTAACTCTGAGGTCCATGAGGACATTTTTTTTTGCCTTCCTTAAGGAAGCAGTTTATCATCTTCAGCCTTGCTGATACTGTAGTTCAGGGTTTTTTCATGAGCATATACACTACAGCACAGCGAGGGGGGGTTGATGGGACTCTGAATCTGGAGGACATACATCACATTTATGTTTAATTCAAACATTAATTTGAAAAGCTGAACAAAAACATTGTGAGATCAGACCTCGAGTTATGGCTCATGTGTATCTAGGGGCACAATTCAAGAGAGATATCTTTTAACCCCACAGGGATGTATAACGGATAGCTTGGCTGTTCCTAACTCTGAGGTCCATGAGGACATTTTTTTTGCCTTCCTTAAGGAAGCAGTTTATCATCTTCAGCCTTGCTGATACTGTAGTTCAGGGTTTTTTCATGAGCATATACACTACAGCACAGCGAGGGGGGGTTGATGGGACTCTGAATCTGGAGGACATACATCACATTTATGTTTAATTCAAACATTAATTTGAAAAGCTGAACAAAAACATTGTGAGATCAGACCTCGAGTTATGGCTCATGTGTACGAGCAGCTCTTAGCAGCATTATAAATTCTGCTCTCTGATGGAAAACACTTGAGGCATGAGGACTCTTATTATTTAAAGATTTATTAAATGCATAGAAGTATATACAAAACCAATTATCCAATTTCACACTTTCAGCATTTCAAAACAGTCATGCTTTTCATTTTTGCTTCAGGTCTTTCAATCAAATTAACGATGGGTTTTAAAACAGAGACTCGAATGAGTTTATTTCACACAGTGAAAAAACGCGCTCATAATGCTGCAATTAAAAGCATCACATTCAGCTTCATCTCATCTATGGCACAAAACAGAACAAACAAAAAAAGAAACATCTGTCTAATTGACTTCATTTCAGCCAGTCAATTATTGTGTTCAATAAAACTATCCTCCTTGGAAATAAACATCTAAATTAAAAGGAAGGCATTCGTGCTGAGGAATAGATTATGGGATAGGAGAGCTTGTGGGTGAGAGTTTATAAGTGCAAAAAAAAAAAAAA